ATGAGATATTTAAATGCACAAATATTCTATATCTTAAGGCACAGAGAGATTAAATGATTTGCACCAAGACCAAAGAATTGAAAACGCGTAGCATTTAGTTTTGAATTGGGGACTGATTAATCTTCTGCTTCCATTTTCATGTCGGTAAATGTTCCTTTCTTTCTTGGAGGAATAAAAACTGTATTTCTGGCAGTTGGTGCCAAAAAAGCCCCGGTAAAGTTTTATGGGACAAATTTTTATAGGACAAAAGGTTTTCATTACAGGGCTGGAGCCTTGGCTTCTGTATCCAACTCAGCAACTCTGATTGGTTCTTCTCTAAGCTTCTCAGCACAATTTTGTCTATAAATTATTACACCCATCACAGAAAAGTCAGTGGGGCCCCAGGCTTTCTGTAAGACAAATCTCAATCTTTAGCATCTGACAAATATTCCTGGTGATTCTACAGAAATCAGAATAGGGACATAGAAAGTTTCAAGTTCAGAAATCCCAGAGTTATTATGGTATTATCCCTTCAAAAAAAGGTATCACTATGAAAAGTTTTAAGATTGAGACTATGCATAGGCACTCATTCATGGGCATTAGAGGCTCAGTCTACATATGCTGGGTTATCAGAGAAAAGGGAGTGTTGGTCCTTTCTTAAAGCTGATATACAGAAGAATACCACAAGAATTATCTTAATTAAAAAAATAACCTTGTAGTCTGAGGTGTTATAAAAATGACACATTGCCGGAAGTATGAATAGTTCTTTATAACCAGATTTACTTTATCATTCTCTACAGACAGACAGCCAGACACACACACACACACACACACACACACACACACACACACACACACACACTTTTCTGAAATTTTGAGTCTGTCAAGCTGCGAGTCTACTTCTGGCTTTTTGGTAGTTAATTGGAGGCAAGAGTTTCTTGATTTTCTTGTGCAGACTGGCTTTGAACCACATTCCTCAGATTTCAGCCTCCTGAGTAGTTAGGATTTCAGATGTGAGCCACTGGCACCTGGCTGTAGCCAGTGTTTTAGGATTCTTGCCTGAATTTGCCTGAACTGTGATGACTGTACTAGTTGCCAAATGATAATTGTTCTCATTTTGTATTTCTTGCTAAAGTTTTTAGTTGGAGTTTTATACCACTGGTTTTTTTAATGGAACTCCAGAAAGACTCCTTCTGTGACAGAAAATATATGAAGTAATCTAAGTTCATAGGAAATAAAAATCTCCACTTTCTCTCTCTCCCAAATCTTAGAGCACAGGTTTTTTGACTAAGTAACATATTTACTCATGTTTAATACTGTGGAAATATGCCATGTTATTGGAAGGCTATTTTCATTTTGGGGTGACAAAATGCCTACCTTTCTTGAGATGCTTGTCTCCTCAGGTTTACTCTATAGTCTCATGAAGTCCTGGTCTCATTCTTTTTTTTTTCCCCTGGGCCTTCCCTATCCATCCTTCTTTAGAACTTGGTCTAATGCTGAGAGGTTAAAACTCTCTTGTCAACAAGGAAGCCCACTCACTTGTCAACCTCTTTGTAGACAGGATTGGTAAGTGATATCCCTTCGGTCATCTTATTCTCTTCTACTTCTAACTCATCAGTTCAGTAGCTTTCTATCCAGTCTTAAAATCAAGACAATAAAGATCCACTTAATTCTATTATTTCCATTACTTTCCAATGCAAAATAAGTCAAGTTATTATTCACATTTCGTTTCTTACTCTTGAAATGCCTTAAAAAATAGAACCTGTAAGAGACATGTGTTTTACTAGGCTCTGGATGTACAAAGGTACATTTAAGACTACCCAGGTCTTTCCTCTGGAAGATTTCAGATCTTCAACTGTACCCACCCGTGAGCACTGTTCTGTTCCTGGAGCAATCACTCTCCTTACTACAGCTCTCAAAACATTATTCCAATCCAAAATATTATCCCAATAACTTCTTATGTATTTTGCAGAGGTGATAATTTTCACTTATACCAAAGAACCAGTGGACAAGAGTGGCTAGTTTCCAATAGAAAACCATTGGATTGGCTTAATAAACTATGTAACTGTCAAGTATTAAGAAACAATGTCAACATGATGGCTCATATCTGTAACCTTAGCTACTCAGGAAGTAGAGATCAGGAGGATTGCAGTTTGAGGTCAGCCTGGTAAAAAGTTTGTGAGATTCTCATCTTAGCCAATAGATGGGCCTGGTGTGTATGCCTTTCATCTGGAGTGGGAAACATAAATAGGAGGACTGTGGTCTAGTCCAGCCTGTAAAAAAGTGAGATCCTATCTCAAAAATAACTTAAGCAGGGGCTGGGAAGGTGGCTCAATGGTAGAGTGCTTGCCTTGCATGCATGAGGCTCTGGGTTCGATTCCTCCGCACCACATAAGCAGAAAAAGCTGGAAGTGGCGCTGTGGCTCAAGTGGTAGAGTGTGATCCTTGAGCTAAAGAGCTGAGGGACAGTGCCCAAGCCCAGAGTTCAGACCCTATGACCCACAAGGAAAATAAAATAAGCAAAAATGGCTGGAGGTGTGACTTAAATGGTACAGTGCCTGCCTACAAAAAAAAAAGAAAAAAAGAAATCTAGTTTCTTTTTCTTTCTTTCTTTTTTTGGGGGGTCCAGTCATGGGGCCTGAACTCTGGGCCTGTATATGCTGTCCCTCAGCTCTTCAGCTCAAGGCTAGCGCTCTACCACTTGAGCCACAGCACCACTTCCGGCTTTTTTCTTTTTGCTTATGTGGTGCTGAGGAATCGAACCCAGGGCCTCAAGCATGCAAGCAAGCACTCTACCACTGAGCCACCTTCCCAGCCCCAATTTCTTTTTCTTTATAGTATTATAACTTAAACAGAACAGTTTAAGCAGCTAGGAATCATTCTCTGGCACCAATTCCAGAGCACAGTCACCTGGTTCTCGGAGGAGGGATACATAATACATTTATGACTAATCAAATCTGTCATGAATCTGATATTATGAATAGAGATGGTAGGATTGCTAAATAAAACCAATTTATTTCCCAGGAACTGTTGGAGAATTCAGACTCTAGTTTTCATCAGAAATTACTGTTTTTGGAAAAGACAATCCAATTTCTGATTTCCAACACAAATTGGATTACTTTTAATTTAAGTAATTCAATTTTTCATGCATAATCTTATTTCTTTCTGACACAGTGTTTAGAGATGACATATTTTTTCCTTTTCACTTAAAAATTGTAAATGAGGATGGTAGGGGAAAAACAAAGGAGAGGGTAACAATGCTTGATAGGAAATGTACTCATTACTTTACTCATATAACTGTAATTCTTCTTAGAGTATCTTTACAATAAACTGTACATAAAAATTGTAAATGACAGAATTCCCTTGCCCTATCCTTGAGTGGTCTAAGGAACAAAGTTCTCAATGAATGGTTTTTGGACCTTCTGGGACAGAAACCTCATTTATATAGCAATATATTAGTCAAAAGACTTGATAGAACTCTGGTTCTTAGCCAGTATTGAACCAAAGCAATATATACCCAAAGATTAAAACATCTGTTAAGTAGTCCAGTATTTCCAATATTAATTTAATAGTTCTGTGAATGGTATGATAGCTTATGGTATAATAGCACTTTTGACCTAGACACTTGAATACTTTGACATAATCACACAAATTCAGACATGGTTATCACTGACAGGTATGAAAAGGTGTGACCGAAAGAAGTAAGAGTTAAATGTGTTGTCTGCGATGCTTTTTCTAGGGTCAGTTTTACACTTTCAGTCACTAACGTTTGAGAAAAGACTACCCACAGTGGGGTTGGTCAATAAAACACTGGAGTTAGGATGAACACTGACAAGCAACAGGTATTAAAGGCTTCTTTGAAAAAAATACATTGCAAGGTGGGGAAATTTGAATGTCAATGAGAAGAATAAGTGAAATATATCATACATTAGAATTAATAAATTTGTCATGATTCTAAAACAAGGCCAATGGTCATACCTGGATGTCAGAAAAAGAAGATGAACTCATTATTCTAAAACCAGGAACAGAAGGAAAAAGAATCAACATTTTTCTTACTTCTCTAACAAACAGCTAATGGGAGAAAGCTCTTCATAGTAGTAAATTAAGACATATTAAATTAAATTAAATTAAAACATATTCAGTGGTGAGGCAACCAAATATTACTGCACTTTGCAATGAAGTACAATGGGAAATATTTATAGTATATTGATATTAAAAATGTAATGATCCTTATTTAAGCCTGTAGATTTAACTACAGTATTTAGGAGATACAAGGGAGAAAGGAATATATTAAAAGCATCCTAGAGATGTACCCAGCATAATACAAACAATCCAATTGTCTCAGCAAACAGATTACAAGGAAAAAAATTAAAGAATGGAACCCATAGATGAAAAGAAAGCTGTGTAAAGTATTAAATGTGACTTATAGATGTCTAAGGATCTTGAATCAGGAACAATAAATGTGTTTTAATTTAAAAAGACACATACTAGATCAATTGAGAAATTTGAACACATTAGATATTTGATGGTATTAAGGAATTACAATATTTAGGTATAATAGCAGTTTTGTGGTTATGTTTTAAGAGTTATATATTTTATTGGTACTTACTAAATTGCAGCACACTATTAGTACTTACAAATTATTTACAGATGAAATAATTTGATTCAAAACAATTTATTGGGTAAAAAAGTAGATAGGAAAACACCTGAAACAAGATTGGCTGTCATTGATAATTATTGGAAATGTCTGACAGGTAAGTAGAGGTTTATTGTGCACTTCAACACAAATACTTTAATGCGTCAGTCATCTCATAGTCAATGCATTTTTTCTTTCTCAGATGAATCAATTTTAAAAGGAGAACTCTAGATTCTCTAAATACAAGTTACCACAGTTTTAATTACATGGATGTGTGCAATAATTCAAACAGGAACAATAAGTCCTGTTAGAAAATGAATGAGAATATATGATAATCTTGTGTTATTCTGGATGCCAGGGACTAGTTTTTCTTGTTGTCTGGCAGGTCAACGAAGGGCTAATATTATATCAGCACATGGCTCGTGAGAACACAGGTTGGACTGTGGAAGATTCTTTCACATTCACAATGTCCTTCCCACCAGCAGTTCTGGGTCCTGAAGAGTTCCATATTACCATTTCATATGAAATTAATGAGCCTGGTTGGCAGAGCCATCTGTTTGCAAATACAGGTAATGCTAGTAAGATCTGGTCAGTACCTTATCTGTATCCAAATAGGGACAATAAATCTTCCCACCCACCTTTTTTGCCAATGCCATGATATCAACTTTTGATATAAATCTGCTATGTTTGTTATATTGACCCCTTTCTCTGAGCCTCTTCTATTTCCTTTCATATTATTAGTTGTCTTGGGGGAAAACACCACCCTAACTTTAGGGAATTCTATTTGTACCTCCAAATGGGGATTTCACTGTTCCTTTGAAAACTGTTGATAGAAAATGAAAATGACAAATAGGGTAAATTCTTAGAGGGAAAAGGGGTTTTGAAAACTCAATGTGTTTCCATTGCAATAGAAAGTGTAGTAGACGAAGTTAGAAAACTAGCATAAATGAATCTAAGGATTTTTTTCTTAAAGTTCACTTACATTATTTTCATTATGTGTGTATCTGTATGTGTGTGTGTGTGCATGCGCGCGTGCATGCATATTTGTATTTAAACTGTACTAGTTTTTGCCTTTGGTAATTCTGGTACCTGAACAATCTAAGTGTTTAGAATAACCCATTAAGAGGCACATTTGAAAGAAAAAGCTTTATAATAGCATCTGAAAGTTCTAATAAAATGCTGTGCTGTCCCTATGTTTATGTTTGTTTTACTTAATAGGAGCAACTGTCAAGGAGGGAGACAAAGTTCTCATTGACCAGTCTAAGTTAGATGCTTCCAACCTCTTACTCCAATTACCTGAACTTCAGCGCTCTTCCTATGAAATATGGTACCAAGTTACATCCCTTCCTTACCATGGGACCATTATGGTTGGAGAAAGAAACATCACCAAAGGAAAACCCAATTTCTCCCAGTATATAATTAATAAATTTGGGATCCTATACCTTCATGATGACTCTGAATCACTGACTGATAACTTTACCTTTGCCGTTTGGCCAAACCAAAAAAGCAAGTCCATCACCAAGCCAGAGGGTGACTGTCTTGAAGAGATGTTTAAGATCACCATTTTTCCTGTCAATGACCAGGCACCAGAATTAAAGACAAAAGGGCTTCGGTTGGAAGTTCTGCAGGGCAGTAGGTTGGTTGTGGGACCTGAAATCCTGAAAGTGGAAGATCTAGACAGTCCTTCAAATGAAATCAGGTATATGATCATCCGTAATCCCAACAATGGCTTTTTGGCGATGGCTGACCATCTAGATGTGCCTGTTCACCATTTTACACAAGCTGATATTGATAACTCTCAGGTGTGGTTCATACAAGATGGAAGACCGTGTTCTGGAGTGTTCTACTTTAGTGTGACTGATGGAAAACACTGCCCTCTCTACAAGCTGTTCCACCTGGATGTCATTCCCGTCTCCATCACCCTCGTGAACCTCACAGATCTACTTCTCCCACAAGGTCAGACAACGGTTCCCATCACCAATGCTCACATATCGGCAGTGAGCAATGGGAACAGCTCTCATATAATCTACAGAATGACATGGCCACTCCAACATGGGCAACTGCTGATTGAAAACCAGGTGGTCACTAATTTTGGACAGGAGGATTTAGATTTGGGAAGACTCTTTTACCATATGACAAATCTCACAGCTTCAGAGGACCAGCTACACTTCTCATTGTTTACATCAGAAAGCAACCTGACAGGACAAACACTGGGCATTAGAGTGCAGCCTCTTCTGTGGGTTACATCAAACCTGAAAATTGTCAACAGAATAGCCCATCAGCTGAGGAGACAAGACCTCAGTGCAACTGAGCTTGCTAATCTGACTAACAGTGATCCTACATTTGAAGTGACAGAACCCCCTGTGCATGGAAGACTTATGCGAAGAGTAGTTCACAGCAATATGGCAGAAGATGCCACTCTGTTCACTCAGAAAGACATTGACCAGGGGCTGTTGGTGCTAGAATCATGTGCTAATCTAACAGGCACCGATATGCTAAATGACTCTTTTATTTTCTTGCTCAGGGCCGACTCTGTACAACCAGCAATAGGTTATCTCCCCTTCACCATTGTGCCACCTGATCCCTCACTTTTGCAAAGCATGACGACAGATGTTCCTTTATTGCTCACTGGAGATAACCTTGTAACCTCAGTTTTCTCTGAGAAACAGCCTGTGGTTTCTTCAGAAGCCATGACACAGATAGAACCTCTAGGGAATCTGACCCAGACCAGATGGCAGGGAGCAGAACCCTGGGGGCAGCACAATGGCAAAGAGCCAAGTGTGAATGACAAGGTCTCTCCCACCAGGATCATTTGGTTACCAGCTGCCACCAAAATCAACCCTGGGGCATCCACTCAGCCCAGGGAGAGCAGTTACCCCCCAATGGCCGTCATACCCCTGACTGCTGCGTTCCTCCTGCTAATAGTGACTGTAGTGGCCTTGTGTGTCTGGTTGCTGGGCCGGAAGGAAGAGACGGCAAAACCCCTACTTGAACCCCAGCTCAACCTAGAGCCCACAACCCCTAGCTGCAGACCAGAAAGGAGTGTAAGCATTCCCACTGTCATAGTGACACCCCTTCTAAGAAGTCCCAGCAGTCCCCCAGCCAGTCTGTTCAGTGTCCCACAATGTGAGCGAATGGCTTACCCAGCAGCTGAGCCAATGGAAAAATGTGCTACTTGGGAGTCATGGGTGAACCTGGATCCCGATATGGCCAAACTCTGCCGACAAACCAACCCGACACTGAAACACAACCAGTATTGGGTGTAGACGGAGGCTCTTCTTTCTTACTGACTACCTATTGTGTTTCAGGCAGTAGGATAGGCAGAACAATACAGAAATGCTGGTTGAAGCAAAGAAAGCCAGGCCTTACTATTCCCACTCAGTGCTCAGACATAGCCTTGTGGATAGGTAGTCATCTGACTCTCTACAATGCTGGTCAGCTTTGCATAGTGGGCATTGCATACCCTTCTCTAGATCAGACTTGTATACTTAAGTTTTTGTAAGTATTTCAACCATTTACCAAGGTGGTACTGAACATTGGTGGCCCCACTGAGAACAGCAATATTAACTTGGGATACAGAGTTTAAAAAGTGAGGCTTTGGGTATTTTCCATAGAGTATTTTCTGCATTAGTCAACAGGAAGTGTAAGAATTGCCTCAGCAGCAGATGTGATTTATAACATCAATGTGTTTGCCAATGTAATGTTTATCTGCAATGTCTTTTCCTCCTTGGACCCCCCTCCCCATCCCCGGGTTTGGTTTCCCTAATGCAGGAAATGACTTGCTGCTCCAGAAAGTGAGACAGTCTGACCTTCTTCGAAGCTCTTCACTGAATCTATTGTGTTTCCTCAAGAGAATTGTCTATTCAGATGGTTAAAACCAAGCTGAGTTTAGTAGAAATATTCTTTGATGCCCTAAAGAACAGAAAAGTTTGCTTTTGCTTTACAATGAATTGAAGTGACATGTTTGTGTTTGTATTTGGATTGCCTAATTGAGCCTGACATTTGTTGACTAAGCATTAATTTGTGTAACTGTAAAATGAAGATATTAGTACTTGTATTAGGAATGCTATAGGCTGAAAATCACAAGACATCCACTATAAGTGTTTTAGATTGGGGGTTGGCAACGTTTTTTCTGAAACATAGTCAAGATTTTAGGCTCAGTGGGTCACATATGGACTCTGTCATCAATTATTTTTTATTTTATTTTATTGTAAAGATGCTGATTACAGTTATATGAGTAAGGTAATGAGTACTTTTCTTGTTGTGCATTGTTACTCCTCTTTTGTTTTTCTCCTACCATCCCTTCCCTTCCCTTCCCCCCATCTCTCCCCCCCAAAGTTTTAAAGTTCATTTCCAACATAGTGTCTTGTGTATCATTGTTGCAATGGGTCATCCCGTGTCCTTGTTTCAGCGCTTTGTTATTCCCCTTCCCCACCCCAAATTATATATATATATATATATATATATATATTATATATATGGTACCAAAATCAAGTACAGTGACAACAGGGGATATACCATAGCGGGGAAGAACATACAAAAGAAAACCTTTAAAATGTAAAACTTCTTAATTCTTAGATTTGACCTATAGACCATAGTCTATATTGCCAGTTTAGGCAATAAAAACATTAAATAATCAATTATCTTAACTAATGGGCATACTGGATGCAGACATCCAAGACAGATAAAAGATTGAAGGGATGAAGTTCTTGTTTTCTTTCTTCCACTTTCCTTAAACCACTAGCCCTTCATTCTTTTGTCCAATGGCAAGATAGCTTCCATAGCTCCAAGCCATACAACCACATTCAAGGCAGAAATTGCAATGAGGTAAACAAAATATGGCAAAATGTCTTTTTCCTATAGAGTTTCTTGTTTATTACTACCATCATCACCATTGTTATTACTACTACTACTACTACAACTACTACTACTATTTTAATCTTAGAAAGGGAGTTACTTCCAAACATTTTTTCCCTTTTATGAGCATTTCCTTGAACTAGTCAACACAATTCTCATCCTTCTGCAGCCACCAGCAAGGGAAATGGGATTCTCCTGAGTGATTATCCCTTCCAGGCCAGAGAGGCTACCGCATTTGAGATCAGTGGTTCACCACTGTGTAATGAGAGAATGAAGCGATAACAATCAGGCAGTATAGGATTTTATTAAAATACTTTTCAAGTATTTAGATACTTGGCAAACAAAGATTTTTGGGTTTTCAAATTGGTGTCTATTTCAGTGTTTTCTTTTTATGTTTTGATGATTTTCTTAAAGCCTCAAATGGATGGATGTTCTTGCAGTGGAGATGTTCCCCACTGAGATGGGGTGACTATGAAGGGGGAATATACACAACTCCAAGGCAGTTAGTGGTGATTGGAGTTATTTTTGGTTTCCAAAAATGCTGGGAGAAGGTGTTTCTTGCATCTAGTGCACAGAGACTAAGTAGGCTGCCAAATATCCAACAACACACAGGACAGATCCCATCAATTATCTAGTTAGTCCCAGTTATCAGGATTGTGGAGATTAAGAAGCCCTGGTTTAAATATTAAAAAAAAGAGTTTTATTATATCACTGATAAAGGCTTAGTAAAGTCATTACTAGCCCTAGGCAAAAATTGTTTTCTAAAAATAGAGTGGACTGGTGGAGATTCCACAGTATGTTTGAAACTCTGGCTAATAATATACGCCTGGATACTCTTTTAAAGAAGATGTATTAAAAACGAAACACAACTTGACAACAGATTTATATCTATGTATTCTTGGTTCTAGGGAAAAGATTATCTTATGTTAACAGGAGAACACATCAGGAAAAAAAATGAGCCAGAATATTTAGTGAGGTGAAAGTGAGGGCAAGATTCCTTGAAGTTTCATGCCTCTGATAGGCTTCTTACAGAAAATGCTTATTTTCCTCACACTGTCTCTTTTCTGCTTCTCTAGGTGACACATTCTCTCCCAGCCCAACTTTAACTGTTCTTTGTGACACCAGATATCACCATCCACAGATTAAATGGCAGCATAACATATACGTAGAGACAGCCACAGATGCCTTAGCTCCTTACTTGGCATCTCTGTCTGTGATAACTGTTGACAGCTGACTTCTCTGTCCTTCAAAATGCTTCTCTCCTGTGTTTATGGGTTTCTGAATTACTGATTTATGAGTTGCCCATTTCCAGTATTTTTGTTTTAGGAAAGATGATGGATGAGAGTCCTAACTCAAGGTTGGTTTGATCCATATGCAATTCCCAATTGTTCTGAGTTTTGTTATAATCTAGGAGCCCCTTAGGGAGCAGTGAGCAGTGTGATATAGGGACCACACACCCAGAGCAAGGCTGAGGAGCATCTTTCCCTCTCACAAGAGAATTTTTCTCCCCCTTAACTAGGCCATGCCTGCTCTTTGTGTGAGAGCCAGACATCCTTGGCTCAGTGAGCATGCTGACTTCCTCCTTGCCTCTGCTCTAAAGTCTGTGGAGCTGGTATTACCAGCCTGGCCAAACAAAAAGTCTGCCTTTTTTGTTTGTTAAATTTGCAACAAATAAAATTGATACCCATCATAAAAGAACACACACATAAGACACTTGAAGATCAGAATTTCCATTTTTGTTTGCAAGTGTGCAAAGAACTGCCTGAGATTCAAATGTCAAACTTCATCCATCAAAAAAAGTAATTAATAGAGTTTGGAAAGTTTTCTTCCACAGACCCTGGAATATACTACTGATTAACAGATGGGTTCCATTAAAAGGAAACAATGTCAACCATTTGGTGCTGGCTCAAAGAAAGCACAAATAAAAAGTTTTTGGAAAAGGCTTTTCAGAAATTGAGGTTCTAGAAATTGAAATAAGTATGAGGTGGTTTCTCCCATAGGCAGACATGAGTTTCAACTTTTGTCTTAATTAATTCACCACATCATAAAAAATGATCAGCCCGGCACCCAGTGGCTCACGCCTGTAATCCTAGCTACTCAGGAGGCTGAGATCTGAGGATGATGGTTCAAAGCCAGCCTGGGCAGGAAAATCCATGAGACTTTTATCTCTAATAAACCACTCAGAAAACTGGAAGTGGCACTGTGGCTCAAGCGTTAGAGTGCTAGCCTTGAGCTGAAGAGCTGAGGGTCAGTGCCCAGGCCCAGAGTTCAAGCCCCATGACCAGAAAAAAAAAACAAGCGGATGATCAGTACACTAATAAATATATACTTGAGATTAATATCAGAAGAGTGGCTGATGACTGGGAATGGATGGTCTTTTATTTTTCTCCAATCATCTACAAGTACCTTATCAGGAGACCTTGGCAGATTCTACCCTTCAGTTGTCCCTTCTTGAACAACTGAATGCATTTCCTCATAGCCTTGTGTGAGTAACTCAGCTCTTCAGATATCTGAAGCTGAAATGGACACATTTGATGATAATATGTGATGATTGTATATCAGATGATGTTCCCTGAATTTAAGGATAAGACAAAGCTACCCACCTAATACTTCAGAGGAATCATAATTAGTAATGAAATTCAGCTTGCATAAGGAGAGCTGTGGGTTTGAAAGTAGATACAGAACCACTGTTTTGCTAGACACTCCCTTCTAAAAAAGTGTCTGTCCTATCTGATCTTCAAGAATTGCACACATGTGCCAGACCGATGAGGATATAAGAGAAGGAGGACAAGGAGAAATGGGGCTTAGGAAAGGGTTTTATGATTGCACTTGAAGTGCTAAGGGGCACATGCTGTCCGTGCAGGGGCGCAGCATTATGTATTCTGTTTTTGTTTTTTGCCAGTCCTGTGGCTTGAACTCTGGGCCTTGGCACTCTCCCTGAGCCTCTTTTGCTTAAGACTAGCGCTCTATTACTTGATCCACAGTGCTACTTCCAGCTATTTCTGAGTATGTTTTTGGAGATAAGAGTCTCACAGACTGGCCCAGCTGGCTTTGAACTACAATCTTTAGATCTCAGCCTCCTGAGTAGCTAGGATTATAGGCATGTGCCATTGGCACCCAGCTCAGCATCATGTTTAAGTTCACTCATGTTTAGCATCTATGTTCTTTTTATGACCAAATAGTATGCTATTATATGCATATACTTTATTTTACCCATCTACTCATCAGTTAATGGAAATTTAGGTTATTTTCACTGTTTTGGATGTCATAAATAATGCTTTTACGAATGTATATGGTATAGGCCTAGGAGCAGAATTTCTGATTTGTGTCGCATCTCCAAGAAATTTGTGTCTTAACTATCCAAGAAAATTTTTGCAAAGTGATTGCTACATTCTGAATTCCCACCTGC